ACACACAGCCTAGCTAACAACCTGATAACTTTAGCAGTATATGCAAACATTTGGTGACCCAGTAAGAAAGGAAAAGGGATAGCAAACAATTTATTGACAAAATAGGTTTTCCTCTTGCCGCTACACTGTATCTGACTAGGTAAACAACTTCATTTGGAGTAAATGTGGACTGAAGCACTGGGACTGCAGCCATATGGACTCGTGACTCAACTTGTGACTCAACCATTGGTGACTTGGACTTGGACTGAAGCACAGGGGACTTAGTCTCAGATATCCCCGACTTTGGAGCTAAGTAAGCCTATAAGCAACGACACAATGTCTGGGGAGAATGTCAGCTTCTCTCTGACATATCAAAATGGAAAACAAAAAATTCCGTGGAGGCTCCTCAACTCTCCCAACAAATCACGAGTTTGGGTAGGTGGGGCTGAAAATGCAGGCGGAATTGTGCTCATGTTTAGGTAGGGTAGCAATCCGTCCGAAGTTACGCTTGAATGTACAGACGTCTTAAACTATAGCATTCAAAGATTGCGGAAGTAAGCCGTCTGACTCATAGACTGCAGCCCACTGGGCACAGACATCAATTCAACGTCTATTCCACGTTGGTTTAACATAATTTAATTGAAATGACATGGAAACAACGTTGATTCAACCAGTGTGTGCCCAATGGGAGGGGACTTCGGACTCAAGGTTTAGTGACTTGACTCTTTCACTGTACAGTAACAGCAATTCTCATTCAGATGAGACACACTGGTCTCATTAATTAACATATATTACTGAAACATACAAACAGTACATACAAGCAGTACACAGGAGGAGAAACATCAACAACAACAAAAAACAAGGAATAAATAAATCAATAATAAATCAAGAAGGAAAAAAATACACTCAAAACAAATAGTGTTGCAGTTCTTGTGTTTTCTATGGTGAATAAACATGACTATCATTAAGAGCAGTGTAATTACACTTTTGGGCACAGGATGGTGCCAAGCACACATACTCCTGAACAAGAAGATGCCACAATATATACACAAACATACACGTACAAACCACACATACAAATATAGCCTAAATTAGCAGCCAGATATCCTAAAGTGATGACTGGGGACAGATTCTAGATCAGATTATGGGTGTACGTGATAGCCTTGGACCAGTTGGTTAGTGTCTCAACGCTAGTTCCATTAATTTTGACTGTTGACCTTTCTAATATGCAAATGTAATTTACATTAATCCCCAACCTTAACACAATATATTATTCGGTTTTTCACAGCTGTTGAAGCTGCTAAGATTATTAACTTTTCTTGAAAAGACGTGTCGAAATTTGGGTTGTAACCAAAGAGTATAAAAGCAGGGCATATTGGAAGTATCTTATTGACAATTTTCGTCCCACTTTAAACGGCGTTCAGCTTACAAAGGCTTCATAAAGCCTTCATAATGCCTTCATAAGCACTACACAAATGTGTTACAAAGCATCTATAACCGCATGTCATGCTTTATAAAGGGTTCATAAATGTGGCATAACTATATGACATAGTCACCAATGTCAAATGTGACATAACCCACTATGTCAAATATGATATAAACATGTGCTTTATAAAGGGTGACATGTTGTGCTGAATGATGGCACACACTCTGTGAAGTCATGTTAGTCACATTACACCTAATCTCGTTCCCAGACACTTCCATCCAAATTGCGTGGAAGGTCTGGTGGACCAACGCATCAAACTTGGCCTTCATTAGTTGGGCTAGGTTTCAAATCAAATTTTAAGAAGATAAATTGAGGAAATGGACAAGGTTTAGCCATAATTATGTGGACATTATCTAAGGATAACTTATTATAAGGACACAAGCCCAGTTATTCTAATAGAGGAAATCAACTTTACAAGAGGGTGGGAGACTGGACAGGCATCCCATGGTATACCATATGTTTTCAGAGCTGTACATTTTAATGAGTTTAATGAGCCGGGATAGAATAAGGGCATTTTCACAAATACTTTGTTGCTATAGTTTGAATCAGAGTTTGATTATTTGTTACACTGTATTAATTTCATTTGGTCCATTTGGTTTCACATTGCCAAATGTCAAACAAACTAAAATGCCCAAACATAACCACATGTTCATGCAAGACATTTGTTTTTTGGACAAAAATGGTCATGTTAAATCCATCTATAATCATCATGGAGCATCACTTGTGTGTCCCAATCTTCATATTACTTTTGCTTTGGTCAACATGCGGGAGGAAACCGCGCAATAGCCGCTCTCACAACTGCCATGATAGGGGAGACTGGGTGTCTCATCATGGGTTGGTTGTCACAGTACTTAGCCTATTACTCTAGAGGGTGCTGTGTAGCCTAGTAATTTTTAGATTAAAATGTGTGCCTTATTCGTAAGAGGCCTTCCACTTGGTCAATTCCAGTGGTGGAAAAAGTACCCAATTCTCATACTTAAGTAAAAGTAAAGATACCTTAATAAAAAATGACTCAAGTAAATGTGAAAGTCACCCAGTAAAATACTACTTGAGTAAAAGTCTAAAAGTATTTGGTTTTAAATATACTTAAGTATCAAAATAAAATGTAGTTGCTAAAATATGCTAAAGTATCAAAAGTAATTTAAAATTCCTTACATTAAGCAAACCAGATGGCATAATTTTTTTTAAATGTACGGATAGCCAGGGTCACACTCCAACCCTCAGACATCATTTACAAACAAAGCAATCACTTACAAAGTTTAAGCTGTTGAATTTTGTTAAGAATATTGTTCAATCAAAATCAATAGCCTGACTATTTCTTGTTTTCTATTCATGTTGAAAAGAGTCTCATAAGATATCCTACTGGTGTTGAGAAATACATGTGAATAAAAGGTGTGACATCCAGCCCCCATCTCCCCTAATCTGCATCGGCTGCACACATGTTTCAGAGAAAACAAGTTATGATATTGCATACATTTGATCAAACGTTCGCAGTCAATCAACCAATAATACTGTGCGCATACTGTTCTTTTCCTGTGTTTTGTTGGTATGATGTTTATTTCTTGAATAAAATGTCATCATAATAGCCAGATGGAATTTGAGAGGAATAGTCAAAGTGATCGTCAATATACTAGAACATGTACTGTATAGGTGTGTTTTTGTTTTGAGGAATCACCTTTCCTTTGAGATTATTGAGTCAGGAATGGACACCAAGAGGTAATGCTAATGTCTGATTATTTCTTATTTATATTTTTTACAGAGAATGTGCTATCATATAACTTCCTCAGTGGGCAAGCATAAATATATTTATATAACATCAGATACAGTTCTTAATTTTTATTCTGCTATTACATCGCAAGAAGCACAATGCTTACAATTCAATATTACAGTAATTTACATAAACATCTTACATTTTTTTATCATATACCATGTCCAGTTTCCCTACTTTTATTACATTCATAATTTCACTACTTGGATTTCCTAGCGTTTTACATATTTTGTTGAATTCATAACAAACTATTAAAGTTAGGTGAAACTTTGCATTGAGACATTTGTTTGAAAGCATTACACAAATGTGAGTGGCAAACCACAACCTTGCCTTAACCCTACATTAACCCCACAGATTGCATTTTAGCTCTATTCCTTCTGCACAAAATTACAATTTTGGCTTAGGCCGGGATTCAATTTGATCGCGCTTTGTCGACAATAATTTCAGATTGAAGTGACATACTCTCCCCTCTGTATTTATTTGGACAGTGAAGCTAAAACTATGTATTCTTCTCTATAATCCAGCATTTTGGATTTGAGATCAATTGTTTCATATGAGGTGACAGTACAGAACGTTACTTTTTATTTTAGGGTTTTTTCATACGTATCTGTTTTTTACCGTTTAGAAATGAAAGCACTTTATGTATCAAGTATCACATTTGGAGGTGTCAAGTATTTTCACTTGTAGCATATTAAAGTAGTCAATAGTTTAGTATTTGATCCCATATTCCTAACATGCAATGACTATGTCAAGCTTGTGACTCTACAAACTTGTTGGATATATTTGCAGTTTGTTTTGGTTGTGTTTTGGATTATGTTGTGCCCAAAAGGAACTTAATGATGAATAATGTAGGCTGTGTTTAAAACAGGCAGCCCAACGCTGATATTTTTCCACTAATTGGTCTTTTGACCAAATCACATCAGATCTTTTCAGACCTGATCAGATTGGTTAAACGCAGCCGAATTGTGTCATTTTGGAGTCACTTTTATTGTAAATAAGAATAGAATATGTTCATGAGCACAACATTAATGTGGATGCTATCATCATTACGGATAATCATGACTGACTACTGAATAATGATGAGTGAGAAAGTTAGAGGCACAAATATCATACCCCCAAAACATGTTAACCTCTCACCATTACCAATAACAGGGGAGTTTTTTGGGGGGCGGGGTATGATATTTATGCCTCTGTAACTTTCTCACTCATCATTATTCAGGATTCATTAATGATTATCCATAATCATGGTAGCATCTATATTAATTTAGAAGTGTTCAGAAAAATATTATATTCTTATTTACAATAAAAGTGACTCCAAAATGACACAATATATTATTCACTCGAGTATAGAGCCAAATTAAAAGTTTTAGCTTCACTGTCCAAATAAATACGGAGGGGTGTGTTTACAGCGTTTACCATGAATGCAGTCTCCGCCAACGCAGGACCATTGCCTTTAAAATCCTCATTGTCTACTAAGCGCGATCGGATTGAATCCCGACATTAGTAAGCATGAGTACCAATGGATAATGCCCACACACCTGCTCAACATATCTTAGAGACATCACCAGATCAAATAAACCACATAATGTGAGCCTGTTACGTGTTTGGAAACAAGTACAGTGAGAGGTCTTAAGGTTGCCACTTAGCCAGCCACTTAAAGCAACAAATAAAGCAGCGTACTGTATGTTAGCACAAGAGAACAATGGTTATGTCACACATCAAAATGGCACAGAGTGGGACCAGCAGCAGTAGCGGTGCTGTTGTACATCATGCGAGCACATTGAGGGCATCTGTGAGCATCTTCAGCTCGTCCTTGACAGACTCCAGGCCTCCTCTGATCTTCAGGGGATTGTCCAGGACCTCTATGCTGTAGGTGTAGGGGTCAAACCGCACAGAAAACGGCCTCTTAATTCCAGCCACATATGATCTGTCAGGAAAAACACAAGGCAAATATAAAATATATAGAAAGTCTAGTATCTATTGATTGGTCAATATCTATCTACAGTGGGGAAAAAATATTTAGGTCAGCGCCACCAATTGGTCAATTTCTCCCACTTAAACCAGATTGAGAGAGGCCTATCATTTTCATCACTAGGTACAACGTCAACATGACAACAAATTGAGAAAAAAATATCCAGAAATCACATTGGTAGTGGAATTAAATTGATTTTTTGGGGGTTTGTATCATTTGATTTACACAACACCACTTTGAAGATGCAAACTACTTTTTATTGTGAAACAAACAAGAAATAAGACAAAAGAACAGAAAACTTGAGCGTGCATAACTATTCACCCCACCCCCTAGTCAATACTTTGTAGCGCCACCTTTTGCAGCAATTACAGCTGCAAGTCTCTTGTGGTATGTGTCTATAAGCTTGGCACATCTAGCCACTGGTATTTTTGCCCATTCTTCAAGGCAAAATTGCTCCAGCTCCTTCAAGTTGGATGGTTTCCGCTGGTGTACAGCAATCTTTAAGTCATACCACAAATTCTCAATTGGATTGAGGTCTGGGCTTTGGCTAGGCCATTCCAAGACATTTAAATGTTTCCCCTTAAACCACCCAAGTGTTGCTTTAGCAGTATGCTTAGGGTCATTGTCCTGCTGGAAGGTGAACCTTCATCCCAGTCTCAAATCTCTGGAAGACTGAAACAGGTTTCCCTCAAGAATTTCCCTGTATTTAGCGCCATCCATTGTTCCTTCAATTCTGACCAGTTTCCCAGTCCCTGCCGATGAAAAATATCCCCACAGCATGATGCTGCCACCACCATGCTTCACTGTGGGTTGGTGTTCTCGGGGTGATGAGAGGTGTTGGGTTTGCGCCAGACATAGTGTTTTCCTTGATGGCCAAAAAGCTAAATTTTAGTCTCATCTGACCAGAGTACCTTCTTCCATATGTTTGGGGAGTCTCCCACATGCCTTTTGGCGAACACCAAACGTGTTTGCTTATTTTTTTCTTTAAGCAATGTCTTTTTTCTGGCCACTTCCGTAATGCCCAGCTCTGTGGAGTGTACGGCTTAAAGTGGTCCTATGGACAGATACTCCAATCTCCGCTGTTGAGCTTTGCAGCTCCTTCAGGGTTATCTTTGGTCTCTTCGTTGCATCTATGATTAATGCCCTCCTTGCCTGGTCCGTGAGTTTTGGTGGCCGGCCCTCAAAGTATTGAGAAACTTTTGTTATTGACCAAATACTTATTTTCCACCATAATTTGCAAATAAATTCATAAAAAAATCCTACAATGTGATTTTCTGGAAAAAAAATTCTCATTTTGTCTGTCATAGTTGACGTGTACCTATGATGAAAATTACAGGCCTCTCTCATCTTTTTAAGTGGGAGAACATGCACAATTGGTGGCTGACTAAATACTTTTTTCCCCCACTGTATATATATACTGAGATCATGTGACAGATCATGTGACACTTAGATTGCACACAGGTGGTTTTTATTTAACTAATTATGTTACTTCTGAAGGTAATTGGTTGCACCAGATCTTATTTAGGGGCTTCATAGCAAAGGGGTGAATACATATGCACGCACCACTTTTCCGTTATTTATTTTGTTTAATTTTTTGAAACAATTTTTTTCATTTCACTTCACCAATTTGGACTATTTTGTGTATGTCCATTACATGAAATCCAAATAAAAATCCATTTAAATTACAAGTTGTAATGCAACAAAATAGGAAAAACGCCAAGGGGGATGAATACTTTTGCAAGGCACTGTATCTATCTATCTATCTATCTATCTATCTATCTATCTATCTATCTATCTATCTATCTATCTATCTGTCTGTCTGTCTGTCTGTCTGTCTGTCTGTCTGTCTGTCTGTCTGTCTGTCTGTCTGTCTGTCTGTCTGTCTGTCTGTCTGTCTGTCTGTCTGTCTGTCTGTCTGTCTGTCTGTCTGTCTGTCTGTCTGTCTGTCTGTCTGTCTGGCTGGCTGGCTGGCTGGCTGGCTGGCTGGCTGGCTGGCTGGCTGGCTGGCTGGCTGGCTGGCTGGCTGGCTGGCTGGCTGGCTGGCTGGCTGGCTGGCTGGCTGGCTGGCTGGCTGGCTGGCTGGCTGGCTGGCTGGCCTACCTGCCTAAAGTTCAATGACAACATATTCTCATTCTTATTGTATCATTCAGTATGGATATAAAGGGTTCACCTTTTCTTCAGTAGAGGCCAACAACAAGAAACATTAATTCAATATGCATTGAATCACAGAAAACTGATTTGCATTGCACTGCAACTACATATTAACCCTGTACAGTCTAAGTCTCTAGAGGGCGATATCTATCAACCTAACATATGGAATTGTTATAAGATAATAATAACATGGACCATTTAGTTATTTGATTTTGTATTTTAGGACCCCTGTAGGTATAAAAAAAATATATATGTAAAAATTATTTGATGAAACATTGAATTTGGCCTTACTGCTATTAGACCATAGAAACCATTGAATAACACAGAAATACATGGCAAATAAGAGAGGCAAAAAATAAATCAGAAGGAATAAGGTTTTGAAGTTTCTGAGAGATATAGGTAAAGCTCAAGAAAGCATAATGTCAGAAAAAAAATATTGTGTATGATATTCTATGTGGAAAAACCCCATCCGCTCCCATTGGGTCCTTCGGGGCCTGTGAGTGTCATAGAGAAAAACAGACAACACGCGCGTGTTCGTGAGAATCGGGTCATATTAGTTTGTGGCTCAAACCGTTTGAACTTCACAGATATTTTTGCGAGAGAAACCGCTCTGGAAGATCCTCCCTTGTCTCACAAACACTGCTCTACCGCAGCTCCCATCCACGCATAAGCAAATGTCTGGTATCGGCGGATTCAGTGGATTGAGATATGTCCAATGCCGGTAAGCTAGCAGGTAGATCGTTTAAAAGTGAAAAACTGATGTAAATGGGTAGAATAATAAAACGAATGCGAGACCGGATTATACGGGTTATACATGTGCGCTTGTAGGTGCATGCCTCCGTGTGTCAATGGATGTGTCTGAAATAAATAAATAAAATATGTCTTGCCTACTACTTACTAAGACTACATGCTGTGTACTTCAGTGGAGGCTGGTGGGAGGCGCTATAGGAGGACAGCTCATTGTAATTGCTGGAATGGAATAGTATGAAACACATCAAACATATGGATACCACATGCTCGATTCCGTTCCATTCATTCCATTCCAGCCATTACAATGAGCCCGTCATCCTATATCTCCTCCCACCAGCCTCCACTGGTACTACATACTATTTTGTATGTACAGTTTAATAAAAATGTATATTCAGTAAGCAACAAATATCAACATACTACTCATCCATACTGAGAAGGCATCATTTAATGCACAATCGCGCTTGTTCATTTTCATTCACCTTTTAAAGGACGATTCTCTTCCTCAATAGTGTGCAGTGAATTCTACTTCATGAAAAGCCAAAATGAGTATGACATCCTGGCATACTATATTTTCAAAATGTCTATTTTTGCATACCCAAAAAGCCTACTATTTAGAACGCAAGTATGGTTATTCGGACACGACCTATGTGTGTCTGGTCCGCTACCTGAGTTTCTCTTTGGCATCTGTGAAGCTCTCAGAGACAAAGTATACAGACTGGTAGTTCTGGTCTTGGTAGGGCTGAATGGCAGCAGCCTCTGGGTCAAACTCCCTCCTCTCTGGCTCATCTGACAGAGCATGCTGGGCAAGAACAGGGGGAGAGTGAGAGAGAGAGAGAGAAAGAGAGAAGGAGCGAGAGAGGGGGGGAGAGAGAGGGGGGTGGTTACTGTCTGGACAATGTCTGGATATTACTGTAATTCAACATTTAAATGAAAATTAGGTTAGGGGAGGTTTATTCTGTTCCACTATGTAGTCTATATGGAGGCTTATATCTAGGATTAAGATATGGCATGATTTTAGAATAGAGAGAGAGAGCGAGGAGAGAGAGAGAGAGAGAGAGAGAGAGAGAGAGAGAGAGAGAGAGAGAGAGAGAGAGAGAGAGAGAGAGAGAGAGAGGAGAAGGGAGAGGAGAGACGAGAGGAGAGAGAGAGGAGAGAGAGAGAGAGAGAGAGAGAGAGAGAGAGCGAGAGAGCGATGTCTACATGTCTAACACCATGTACTCACCACTAGCTCTCCATATGAGGAGAGGAGTCCTGCCCCGTAGGCTTTCACAATGCCACCCTGTTTACACAGACCAAACTCCACCGTGAACCAGTAGAGCTGAGACACACACACACACAGAAGGAGACATGCTTGCAAAGTCAGTCATGTTTCTACAGCTTTACACTTCATATGTTTTGCATGTGTGGTAGGAAGCGAATAAGGAATCAGGAATAATCCAAGCCATGTTGCGACAACAAAACGTACCGTTGACAGTTTCTCAATGTCTTCTTCTGAAGCACCCAGTGAAGCAAGGCCGATGTTCTGCAACAAACGTGATCTCTGTTAGCAAAGCATGACAGAGTATCATCTTTGGTTCATGGTATACAAAGCAGATAAGAGGCTGTTGGGTAGACAGCTCAAGTCAAGGTGCAGACCAGAGGCCCAACTCTCTTTCATTTTAGAACTGCTCCTTTTATTAATTTCATTGGGTTAAAAATGTCCATCTTCAGAATCAATAAAGCCAATATGGGTAATTTTGCAGAATTAGTCACCTGAGAAAACTGGGCGAACACCCGGTCAGCCAGAATGGGGACGTGGCCCAGGAGTTCGTGCACACAGTCCCTATGGCAACATCACAAAATTAATGTGACGATTAAATGCTAAATGCACACAGTCACACATGAGATGGAGACAGAGAGTGAGAGTAAAATGCCCAGTACAAATTTCCTACAATTATCCTATAGAAAGTGTATGATGCTGTCTCTATCTTAGAAGGTGCAGATAAGGAAGAGAGAGGTATAGAAAGAGAGATAGAAATGAAGATAAATAAATGATACAGGACAGAGAGCTGTATGGAGCATAGACCTGAGTTGAAATACCATTTGAAATCTTTCAAATACTTTGAGGGTCCATACTTACGAACTCCATCTTAAACCTAAGGTTGAAACATTTTCTCAAAATATGATACTTGTTAGCTTTTCCCATGAGATAACATGGCACATTTAACCACTATGCTAACATGACCAGCTGACCAGCATGATTATTTCCGGTTACGCATCAGCCAATCAAAGATCTTAGACAGTAGTAGCCACCAACCAATGGCATTACTTAAAAAAGGTCAACTTGGCCACCAGAGGGATACTTTAAACCTCCAAATTCAAGGTTTAGTTTGTTCTGCTTGGTCTGTAACAAGTGAAGTGTGCCAATATATATTGCATGATGCATCTTTGACTAGGCTACTAATGTTAGAACAAATTCAAAAGGCACGTTTTCGCATATATGACAAAATTCCAAGTTTTTTCTTAGCTCTGTAGCTCAGCTGGTAGAGCACAGCGCTTGTAACGTCAAGGTAGTGGGTTCGATCCCCGGGACCACCCATACACAAAAATGTATGCACGCATGACTGTAAGTCGCTTTGGATAAAAGCGTCTGCTAAATGGCATATAATTATAAATTAAATTATTATAATTATAATTAAATTATCCGTTTCACACCAAGGGCAAAATTGTTGTGTAGAAATTGGGGGGACGAACAGTAGACGGGAGTGCCGGGGGGTCCTCCCCCGTATTCTTTTAAAAAACATTTAAAAACACATTTCCTGCAATTCTACACAGTTTGACATTACTTATTATGCCTCTCTTGCAGGGTATTTTGAGGGGTATTTTGAAAACACAGTATAAGCGGAAGGAGAAGTGGAAGGCCTCCCGCACAAAAAAAGAAACAGATTTTTTTGGGGAGATAACAGCTAACTTCCTGCATTTCAACACATTTTGCCATAGGGCAGAGAGAAAATGGTGCAGTTTTATAATAATATTCTACACATTTTGTCATGAGTCTGAGAGAACATTTTGCAGTTTTAAAGCTAATTAATTAGAATTAATGTATCGCAAGAATCAATTTTGGCATGAAACCTCTCGCTTTGCCACTTCCTCTCTGTTTACACACACAGACACCAAGCCCCTCCCCATGCCACTCACAACAACAAAGATGTGAGATCACTTCTTCCAGTTAAATGTACACGTCTGTGATTATTAGCAGTGTGTCTACAGGGCTGAAGAAAGATGCAGTTCCTCATTAAATGTATTATTATTCTTAATTGTCAAGGTGTTGCACTTCTCTTTGCAACACACTAACACACTAAATGTAATTCTACATAAAAAAAATCATAATAATCTAATCTAGGAATCAAACCCTTGCCGCAAACTGCAAAAATGATCAGGAGCTCACTACACTGTGAGCTATTTAACCAGTCATTCAAACACACATGATGTAGTAACTTTGATTAGCAGAACGTGACATTTGACTTCTGTTAGAAACGCTTTCATGAAAAACTGTTTGATCACGTCCAACTACGTCAACGTTTTTAATTGGCTGATGTGGAATTTGTTACGTTATAGTTAGTTACATGTAATTTGCAGCGTGCATGATTATGAGCAAAGTCATTATAGCCTATCATTTCACTTGGCTTTGCTGTACCGCAGCTGAAGCCTGCCAGCAGACTACCTACCAAAGGTTGCACTGTATCCAATACAATGTAGAAAAACACAGATCAGCTATCTTTTTACGCGGGTATGGAGAACTACGATGTTATGCAAAGTTCAGATAGAAATATAGCATGTAGAATTAGGAATCACATCAGCTCTATTCATGACATTTCTATCTGCAACAACGTTTGCATACTGAATGTGGCCATGGTGAAACAGTAGTACTCACGGTTCAGGGGAGTGCATGGGAGAAGAGGCGTGGCGTATATACTGGGTACACTGGAACACACGGAAGGCCAGACTGGCTAAAAAGTCTCTGGCAGAGAGGAGACCTGCCACGGGACGCAGCTGGAACCCTGTACACTCTGTGTGTGGTGTGTGTGTGTGTGTGTGTGTGTGTGTGTGTGTGTGTGTGTGTGTGTGTGTGTGTGTGTGTGTGTGTGTGTGTGTGTGTGTGTGTGTGTGTGTGTGTGTGTGTGTGTGTGTGTGTGTGTGTGTGTGTGTGTGTGGTGTGTGTGTGTGTGTGTGTGTGTGTGTGTGTGTGTGTGTGTGTGTGTGTGAGAGAGAGAGAGAGAGAGAACGAGACAGAGAAAAAAAAAGAGAAAAAGGAGATAGTGACACATAAAAACAATGCAGTTGTCATGAGCAACTAACAGTCTATTTGAAGAGGTGGCCCTTACGTAGTGTGTATTCAGCCGGCAGAAAATGTATGTCTGCGGCACCTAACATTAAGCTAACCTTTGTCTCTAAACCCAACCTTAACCCTTACCATTTTCGACCCCTACACCGGTTGAATATCCACTTGTTTGCACTTACATGTATCTAATGTCCAATCAGGAGTGGGCTGTATTGAACATGCTATAGGCCAGTGGTAGTCACTAATATTTCTGAGGGACTTACTTTTGTGAAACAACTTTGCTGGGGGGTCGGGGGGTCACGAAGTGAAATTGATTCATACATAATATCAAATGGATTCACACATGATATTTAAGATACTTTTAACATGGACCATCAAGGTTTAAAGTCTTTATTTAAGGACACGTTGGGGTATCAGAAACAAACGTGTAAAAATCATTGTATGAATCTTTTGAATCTGGCCTTATTGCCATTATCTCAATAAATGTTATAGTACAAACGTCAAATCAGGTAATGCTACATTTCAGTCTGAAGGAGAAATATGCTTTGGAGTAATTGAAATGCATCAGAAAGGTTTTGGAAAGTTGATGATGATGATGATGATGATGATTAGGGATGATAATGAATATCAAGCAATCTTTGTGTATGATCTTTTGTGAAGAATCAATTAATTTCCCCCAGTCATTCTGTGCAGATTCTTTACTCTCCCTTCTAATGAGTCCTGCACAATTTGTGTGATAGATAGAAACAGAAACATGTTCCTGAGAATCGTAGCTTTCAGGAATGGAGTAGCTCCAACAGTTCAAAAACTACAGCCAAATTCATAGGAATATTTTGTTTTCAAGATGTGCTAAAAACACTAGAAGCCGCTGTTACTGTTCCGTTTGTCCCAGCCGCTAATAGCAAAGGTTACTAATGTAACCATGGTTCTATGAACTAAGCGGCGCATTCAGCTGACTGAGGAAAACACTTTCATTCAGATAATTGCTGGAGTTGCCAATGAAATTGCAGAGAGACACATGCGTCTTGTGAGAAGTGCAATGACTATGGCTGCTATAGGCGGTATGTATGAGTACCTCTGAGGAAGCGTGACACGTCCTCCAACTGGGGGATGTTGTCAGGGCTGTACCCACAATGTCTCTCCAGCAGGCGGAAGGCGTCCAGGTGTTCACTGCAGGCGTGAGTGGTGTACAGGTCCCTCAGGGTGCAGTACACCTCTCTCCTGTCCAACACACACACGTATGAGAACACACAGACACACATACATGCACGTATGCACACACACAGGGACACACACCAGAAAATGAACACACGATGGAACAAATATGTTGTAGATAAAATTGAAGATGAAGATGTAGAAATCTTAAAACACAACTGTGAGGCGTTATGGGAAAAGGATTGATTTCTAGGCATTTTCAAGACAGAAATGTTATAGAAGTCCAAATATATCCATAAAAAAAGACAAGACTTCTGTATAACCCATTTCCAAAATGGTGAGCTGAATGTGTGGCCTCTCTTTGATTGAGTTATGGCAGCATGTTGTCCTCTAGGTCAACTGTAAATCTCTCCCAAACAAAACAATTTACTCTCTGATAATCGGGTTATCCAGGAGCAAGTCTACTTCCCAAATGGCACCCTATTCTCTATATAGTGCACTGCTTTTGAGCTGGGCCCATAGGACTCTGGTCAAAAGTAGTGCACTACATAGGGAATAGGGTGTCATTTGGGATGGGGCCAAAGTCTTGTACCAGATGGTTGACAGTCACTTCGGAGAGGTTCGGTCAAGAGACCTGACCACTTTTTTTGTTGTTGTTATTATATTGATCAAACACAATATTTCCGTTTGGTGGACTGAGTCAGAGTCCTCTCAGGTGCAAACAATGAACTGACATTTTAGACTGACATGATATCTGGGCAAATGACTTTAATCTGTGACATTTGCACATAAACGATTAAAAGCTTGTACTCTAGATTGCTTGATAGCACCCTCTCTCCGTGGCAAATCAGGAAAATAACCATTAAATCACCATTACCACTTTCTGAGTCAAAATCACATCTCATAAATGGTATGAAAAAAACACGTCTTTCTGCAAATGAACAGGTAAACAGAAGGCTGAAGCATATATTTATTTATAGCAGAAAGCATACAATAAACAAACCTTGCACGATAAGTATTGAGATGTGAAGAGTCATTGTAGCTCCCAGAGCTAATGCCTTAGCTTTAGTTCAATGGTCTAACACTGTCTTAAGGTTTGACTACTTATCACTGATTTTACCAGAGAATATAATGCTAGTGCCACTCACCATGTACCGATCTCCTCCTCTGTGTATTCTACTCTGGGGATGGGCTCTCCTCTGACAAAGAGAAGAATGAAGAATGAAATTAACAGATATACACCACTGTAGCGTCCTCATCCTGGATAAACCTTGTATCCACTTTTTTGATTATGTTAAAATGAAATGTTAAGTAGTCATTAGTCTCCATGTACTGTGAAAGTTTCATGACTCTAGGACTAATCAAAGTAAAACGCCTTGTGAATTTCTATTACTACATCACAGACCTTGAATAACTATAGTTTTTAACTACGCTTTGTGGAAAGTAACTATTTTTCCAGGGGAATAAATAGTTACTTTGGAGGTGACTACAACTATTTGAATACAGATCCGAAAAAAAATACTACTTTTTAAAACAATTTGAATACAGATCTCAGAAAGTAACTACTTTTCAAAACGATTTTAATACAGATATCAGAAAGTAACTACTTTTGTAAATGATTTGAATAAAGATCTGAGAAAGTAACTACTTTTTAAAAAAATGGCAGTGCTGTATCTGGAACTGCATGTTAAGATAGAAATAGAATGAATAGAGCACACCAAATCTCCTATACTATTCCAATCTATCTGAAAGTCATATTTGATATACACAATACATTTCTATCTGAACATTTTGTAAATGTCCATTCTCCTGAAAGTCCATTGCCCCAGGTGTACATAATCAAGTCTAACCAATTATATTTTGTACAGATAAGTATAAATAAGTTGTGAGGCTCAACTACTGTATGCCACTGAAAAGGTCTAAAGCTACAATACATGTTATGATACCTGGAAATACTGCACAGTAATTCAAAGCCATTTGCAAACATTGCAAACAGCAAGTTGGAGTTTTAGAAAAAACAACTTTGAACCTCTTTGTCCATCTGAGGGTAAATGTTCTTGTTTAAAACACACGCTATACCGTCTTTAAAGGGAGAGTACAAACTAACGTAATTTTCAACCTACCATGCATGGCTGTAGTTGATTCAAGAAGGCAGTTTTGGGATATTTTGTTTCCTTTTGACACTTAATAGCCATATTTTGTTACTGTTAGCATTCTCAGGAACACTTAACATTAAACTGTTATTGTGCCTGTGTAATAAAGCTGTAATTCATTTTGGAGCAACATTTTATTAACATGTTGTTACATAACACTTTGGTAATTGCATTTTAATTGCATAGCAATGAGCTGTACACTACTGTACAGGAATAGTAACTGTTCCTTATTTCACATATGTTATAACTCCAGTATTATGCAATTATACAGCGATTTCCAAAATGTTATGGAAGGGTTGGAACCTAAATTATTTTCCAATCATTTCGTTCTGAACAGAACCCCCCCCAAAAAATGTGTTCCTTTCCACTGTTCCGACCTGCAAAAAAAGACAAGTCAAGCCTATTGCACAATATGGTACTCAAATTTTGCAGGTGGGGAGAGAGTGAGAGAGGGATCTTGGCTAGATGGGATCTAGCTTTTGTCAAATTAACGTCAGATTTGACCTTTCGTAGCAGGTTAGGAGAACTTCCGCAGCAGGTTAGGAGAATTAACGTACCAGGTTAGGATAATTAAGTTAAGGTTAGGAAAATGGTTAGGGTTAGCTAAAATGCAAAAAAACTAGACTTTTGACGTTAATTTGACAAAAGCTAGATCCCTTCTAGCCATGACCCGAGACAGGGTTGAGAAGGAGGCTTGAAGCAATGGCCATCTTGTTATGACATGCATTGTCTGAATTAGCTAGGTCCACAGAATTATACCTAGGAGGAGCGGCTTCTATGGAGGACCTTTGAATGTCCTTTGAGCTAGCTAGCTTACAAGCTTGAGCTAGCTAGGTAACACGTTTATGTGTGCAGCGCGACGCTACAATTAAAAACACTGCTTACCTTTTTGTAAGAAGTCAAACGTGATAACTAGGCCTATAGTATCCTTAACTTCCATTGAAAAAGTGAATACATTTTTCTATAGCTAATTAAAAATGCCTCTCCCAATCTTCTGAATTACGCTTGTAACGTAAGTACAGTAGCCTAAACACGTACACTGGCAAAGATTTTTAGCTTGCAGGCAAACACTGAAATATGTTTCTGAGTGACAGCGTGAGGGCTTTGCATCGGTGCATTGTTGCGTTTTTTGGTGGGACTTGAAAAAAATGCCTGGAATGTAAAAGGACGTTATTAACCAGTTCCCATGTTTAAAAAAAAACAATGTTTCTGTTCCGGAACAGTATGGATGACTTTCTTTCCCAGTTCCGTTTCTGTTCTTTTCCGCATTTCGGTTCTGTTCAAACCCCTGGTCCTATGTAACACCAATGTTGCTTTTGTAATAGTCACAAAGTTACTACACATGTATAAAAACTTGATGTCAAGTGTTACTGTATTACCTTAAGTCTCACTCATTTTCAAAATATATTTATTAGTCATCTTGAAGCTGCAAAAGTGGTCTACTACTAATGTTGACGTGATTCCATGTCCCTCATGTATTTAATTCTATAGGCTATATTAAGATCCATATCTAAGAGCCTTCCAAACCATGTGCTCATGATCATATATTTAGACCAACTAACTGTTCATCATCAAATATTTGGCAGCCATCAAATTATTATTACTTTTTTTATAACTTGCATATATATTCAAGTTAAAATATTATTTGATTTTCTGAGAGGTATTCTAAATACTTTCAAATATGATTTGTTTTTCTGAGACCTGTATTTGAATATCAAAGAAAATAGCTGCCTTTTAGTTAAAACTCTATATAAAATATATTTGACTGCCTCCAGTATTTGAAAAGTTGGTACTGTATTTTCAAATAAACTACAAAATACAACTACAGTATCTTCTGCCCAGGTCTGCTATATAGCAGAAGATTGAAAAAATATATATATTCCTGAAAAGTTTACCTTTTGGAGATGAGAAATCTAATTTCTTAGGGCTAATGTTTAAAATGAATAAATGTTATAATGAGATACGGTATAATTATTTCTGGCTTACTGTTTATATCTGAAGGCAATGTCTCCAATCATCTTCCTCCTCTGCCTATAGACGGGATCTGTGAAACCCTGTACAAAACCGTCACACAAAACATGAGTAGAGGCCCAATATCTACAGTGTCACATTTTATAATAGTGTAATTATATATATATATATATATTATATATTAATTAATTATACTGTTATTAGAAATATGGCAGCGTTATAGCAATATAATAAGGTTATTCTTTGATGTAGGCTCAACAACTGTCAAAACTTGTGAATTGCGGCCAAAATGTTAATAATAATAATGTAATAACAATGTAATAACAGTGTAATAGCAATGTAACAATGATATTCTGTCTCTACACAAGCAACTAGAGTGATTGTTTCCATTCATTCACTCACTGGGTGTTCTTGGTCTAAATCTGGATCAAATTTTGTGATAAGGTGGTGACATCTGTCCAGCTCTGAGATTTTCTTTGGGAACCAGTGAACTGAAAAAAGACCGTAAATGTGTTTTCTTTTACAAACATTATTCTCTTTCCATGTATATCTTTCATTCTTGTCAAAGCAAAACACGTAATGCACACAAATGTATGAACAAAGCCTGCCATCTGTCCCAGATTAATAGCTTTGGTCAACTCAATAGTATGACTAAATACAATGCAAAAGTGGAATATATCTATGGAGGTGACCAGCCAGTCAAGTCTTGGGATTCAACAGGATCATTCAACTATACTGTTTCTGAGATTTTGTGAGTGTAAAGATGGTTCAGCTAGGTTACATTTGGGTCGTACATCAGCTATACCATATTAGATGGCCTTACATTTGATAGCTGCTATAGTTTTAGCCTCGAGTTCCACAGCATTGTGTATTCTCACCTGTGCTCGTGAGACTAGTACAGTTTTAATAAAGTGCATTATGCAGAAAATTCTCACATTTTACTTCTTTGGTGGTTTTGACGTCCTCTGCGATCCTCTTGATGGAGCTGATGAGGGTGCTGACATCAGACAGGTGCACCTCGCAGCGGACAAAGTACTCCAGACCCTCCAGGCTGTCCCGGGGCTTCCTGCAAGGCCGCGTTTCCAAGTGGTGGATCTTAGCTTCAAACGTCTGTCAGGCACAACATATATATCTCTTAGGCTCTTCTCAGTTGCTCAAACATCTATCCTTTCCTCGTGTACTCCCCTTCATCTGTACAGTGGTGGAAAAAGTACCCAATTGTCATACTTGAGTAAAAGTAAAGATTTCTTAATATTAAATTATTCAAGTAAAAGCGAAAGTCACCCAGTAAAATACTACTTAAGTAAAAGTCTAAAAGTATTTGGTCTTAAATATACTTAAGTATAAAAAATAAATGTAATTGCTAAAATATACTTAAGTATCAAAAGAAAAAGGGAAAGTATAAATAATTTAGAATTCCTTATGTTAAGCAAACAAGACGGCACCATTTTCCTTTTTTGTGTGTTAATTTACGGATAGCCAGAGGCACACATAAACACTCCAACATTTACAAACAAAGCATTTGTGTTTAGTGAGTCCGCCAGATCAGAGGAAGTATGGGAGACCAGGGATGTTGTCTTGATAAGTGTGTGAATTGGACCATTTCCCTGTCCTGTTAAGCATTCATTTACATTACATTTACGTCATTTAGCAGATGTAACGAGTACTTTTGGGTGTCAGGGGAAAATGTATGGAGTAAAAAGTACATTATTTTCTTTAGGAATGTAGTGAAGTAAAAGTAAAAGTTGTAAAAAATATAAATAGTAAAGTAAAGTACAGATAACCCCCCAAAACTACTTAAGTAGTACTTTAAAGTATTTTTACTAAAGTAGTTTACACCCCCACTGCATCTGCCCTACTTGAAAAGTCTGTCAGGCACAACATACTTAGGCTCTTTCTCAAATGCAAAAAAATCTGTCATCTCCTCATCTCCACCCCTTCATCTGCACTAACTAGAAAAGACTTGAGGTGAAAACAATAATATTATTTTATGGTGGAAGCTCATCATTAGACTGGTTTTCACCTGGTTCGTTCTTGCAGTGAAGGAAAGGAGGTGAGGAGATTTTCAGATGATTGAGAACAAACCTTTATGATAGAATAAGAAGGGTTGGAGTGAGAGAGAGAGGAAGGAAGGGAGGGATGGGTGGTAGGTCTAGCCAAAGGTCTGAGGTCAGAACACATTTCTCCGGTAAACTGCATCGGTCAATTGCAACCAATGGGCAGAACTTAACCTTTTATTGCAGTGGGCTAAATCAGGGTCACACAGAGTGTTTCTTGGTAGTTGTAAACAAATTGAACTACTTTGAAACGAAAGTATACACCTCAAACACGGTTATGGGCTTAAAAAAAAAAGAAAACACCTGTACCATGTCAGATATAGAGTTGAAATGTATTCAATTTTGAGTTTGCATCCCAATATTAAACTTTATATACAGTTAAAGTCGGAAGTTCACATACACCTCAGCCAAATACATTTAAACTCAGTTTTTCACAATTCCTGAAATTTAATCCTAGTAAAAATTCCCTGTCTTAGGTCAGTTAGGATCACCACTTTATTTTAAGAATGTGAAATGTCAGAATAATAGTAGAGAGAATGATTTATTTAAGGTTTTATTTCTTTCATCACATTCCCAGTGGGTCAGAAGTTTACATACACTCAATTAGTATTTGGTAGCATTGCCTTTAAATTGTTTAACATGGGTCTGTCACGCTCTGGCTCCGGGACTGTGTATTTTGAGCCAGGGTGTGTTCATTTGGTTGTGTTTGGTATTGGTTGTGTTGTGTTTCCTTGTTTGGTCGTGTGACTCCCAATCAGTGGTAACGAGTGTCAGCTGTCGGCTCGTTATCTCTGATTGGGAGCCATATTTAAACTGTCAGTGTTCACCTTAGTGTTGTGGGTTTTTGTTCCTTGTCAGTCATTATAACTGAGGACTTCACGATTCGTCGTTGTTGTTTTTTTTTTTGTAGTGAGTACTTTAATTTAATAAAGTCATGTTCGCTCAACGCGCTGCGCTTTGGTCTCCCTCATTAGACGATCGTGACAGAAAAACCCACCTTAACCAGATCAAGCAGCATGAAGAAGAGAGAGGATGGACTTGGGAGCAGTTGAGTAGGAGTCTCGACTGGGCCAAGCCAAGAGAAGAGGAGAGAGGTTGGACTTTGGAGCAGTGGGGTGATAGTCTGGCGAGAACGATGGAGGCCTGGTCCACGAAGAGGAGAGAACCCCAGAAAATTTTTAGGGGGGGGCTCACGACGTCGGACCAGCAGGAGGCCGCGATAGAGCGGTCCAGTGGGTTGCCGGAGGAGGCCGCCGGGTTACGGGGGCCACTGGTCGAAGAGGGGATGGAGGAAGTAGAGGCACGGCGAGAGGTACTGGCGTGTGTTGCCAGTCCGGTCCGGCCCGTTCCAGATCCCGGTGTAGGGCCAGTGGTGTGTGTCCCCAGTACAGTCCGGCCCATCCAAGCTCCCCGCACCAAGCCAGTGGTGTGCGTCGTCAGCCCTGTCCGGCCCGTTCCTGCTCTCCGCACCAAGTCTATGGTGCGTTTCGTCAGCCCTGTCCGGCCCGTTCCTGCTCTCCGCACCAAGTCTGTGGTGCGCGTCGCCAGCCCAGTCCGGCCCATCCAAGCTCCCCGCACCAGGTCAGTGGTGCGCGTCGTCAGCCCGGTCCGGCTCAGTCCTGCTCCCCGCACCAAGACAAGGGTGCGAGTCGTCAGCCGGATTCAGCCTGTTCCTGCCACTCGCACCAAGTCAAGGGTGCGAGTCGTCAGCCGGATTCAGCCCATTCCTGCTACTCGCACCAAGCCAAGGGTGCGAGTCGTCAGCCGGATTCAGCCCATTCCTGCTACTCGCACCAAGCCAAGGGTGCGAGTCGTCAGCCGGATTCAGCCCATTCCTGCTACTCGCACCAAGCCAGGGATGCGAGTCTTCAGCCTGGTGAGGCCTGTTCCGGCTCCACGCACCATGCAAAGGGTGCGTATCGTCTGCCAGGTCCGGTCCATTCCTGCCTCACGCGCCAAGCCAGGGGTGCGCGTCGGCAGTCCTGATCCAGCTAACTGGGTCAGATCGGACTGGGGGCACTACGGGGGGATTGTAGTAGGGTGGTGGTCAAGCCCGGAGCCGGAGCCGCCTCCGAGGAGCAATACCCACCCAGCCCTTCCCTATTTGGGGTGTAGGCGCGGTCGGAGTCCGCGCCTTTAGGGGGGGGGTACTGTCACGCTCTGGCTCCGGGACTGTGTATTTTGAGCCAGGGTGTGTTCATTTGGTTGTGTTTGGTATTGGTTGTGTTGTGTTTCCTTGTTTGGTCGTGTGACTCCCAATCAGTGGTAACGAGTGTCAGCTGTCGGCTCGTTATCTCTGATTGGGAGCCATATTTAAACTGTCAGTGTTCACCTTAGTGTTGTGGGTTTTTGTTCCTTGTCAGTCATTATAACTGAGGACTTCACGATTCGTCGTTGTTTTTTTTTTTTTTGTAGTGAGTACTTTAATTTAATAAAGTCATGTTCGCTCAACGCGCTGCGCTTTGGTCTCCCTCATTAGACGATCGTGACAGGGTCAAACGTTTCGGGTAGCCTTCCACAAGCTTCCCACAATAAGTTGGGTGAATTTTGGCCCATTCCTCCTGACAGAGCTGGTGTAACAGTCAGGTTTGTAGGCCTCCTTGCTCCCACACGTTTTTTCAAGTTCTGCCCACAAATGTTCTATAGGATTGAGGTCAGGGCTTTGTGATGGCCACTCCAATACCTTGACTTTGTTGTCCTTAAGCTATTTTGCCACAACTTTGGAAGTATGCTTGGGGTCATTGTCCATTTTGAAGATACATTTGCGACCAAGCTTTAACTTCCTGACTGATGTCTTGAGATGTTGCTTCAATATATCCACATAATTTTCCTTCCTCATGATGCCATCTATTTTGTGAAGTGCACCAGTCCCTCCTGCAGCAAAGCAGCCCCACAGCATGTTGCTGCCACCCCATGCTTCACGGTTGGGATGGTTTTCTTCGGCTTGCAAGCCTTCCCCTTTTTCCTCCAAACATAACGATGGTCATTATGGCCAGCAGTTCTATTTTTGTTTCATCAGACCAGAGGACATTTCTCCAAAAAGTATGATCTTTGTCCCCATGTGCAGTTGCAAACCGTAGGCTGGCTTTTTTATGGCGGTTTTGGAGCAGTAGCTTCTTCCTTGCTGAGCGGCCTTTCAGGTTATGTCGATATAGGGCTCGTTTTACTGTGGATATAGATACTTTTGTACCTGTTTCCTCCAGCATCTTCACAAGGTCCTTTGCTGTTCTGGGATTGATTTGCTATTTTCGCACCAAAGTCTGTTAATCTCTAGGAGACAGAACGCGTCTCCTTCCTGAGCGGTATGACGGCTGCGTGGTCCCATGGTGTTTATACTTTCGTACTATTGTTTGTACAGATGAACGTGGTACCTTCAGGCATTTGGAATTTGCTCCCAAGGATGAACCAGACTTGTGGAGGTCTACAATCTTTTTTCTGAGGTCTTGGCTGATTTCTTTTGATTTTCCCATGATGTCAAGCAAAGAGGCACTGAGTTTGAAGGTAGGCCTTGAAATACATCCACAGGTACACCTCCAATTGACTCAAATGATGTCAATTAGCCTATCAGAAGCTTCTAAAGCCATGACATCATTTTCTGGAATTTTCCAAGCTGTTTAAAGGCACAGTGAACTTAGTGTATGTAAACTTATGACCAACTGGAATTGTGATACAGTGAATTATAAGTGAAATAATCTGTCTGTAAGCAATTGTTGGAAAAATTACTTGTGTCATGCACAAAGTAGATGTCCTAACCGGCTTGCCAAAACGATAGTTTGTTAACAATAAATTTGTGGAGTGGTTGAAAAACGAGTTTTAATGACTCCAACCTAAGTGTATGTAAACATCCGACTTCAATTGTACATCATAGAAGACTGAAGTATAACAAAACTGTTTGACATTGATACACCGGATTTTCACAGGTTAAAAAAAATACAACGGTTGATTAATTATGAAATTATAAAAAATATTAATAACGTTCCACCCATGAGGCCACTAGAAGGTGCTTCTCGTCATTAGACTGCAGAAAAGGGCTACCGCATAGCTGCACGCACACCCGTCGCTATGGGCGGGCCATAGGGGGCCGGGCCCGCCCCCCAAAATGCTTGTGCCCCCCCACTTGAGGGAATGTATTATTAAATATATGTACTGTAGGCTAATAATAATTGTGCCCTGCCCTCCCATGCATTTCATATGCCCCCCTTAAGACTGAGGTCTGGCGACGGGTCTGGCTGCACGTCAGTGCAGGATTTCTTCAAACGCGAGGCTAGTAACGCCTCTATCAGACCTACAGTGTTATGCATCAATACTGCATAATACATTCTGCAGTCAAACTTTTTTCATTATGTAATCCAACATTTGAGTGGATATGTGTGCAACAAAAATTTTACATTCACCTTTTCCTTACTATTCCTGTCAAGTATACGCATACAATTTGATGCATATGTTGGATAAATACACCGTATGCACCACACAGAACGCACTGCTACTGCTTCTGTAACGCAATGCTGCAATGCAAACGCAGCGTTCCATTGGAAATGAATGTACTTCTGGTGTACCAAAACGTAAAACACTGACTGTCTGTTCAAGGCGTAAAGGGAGATTACATGTTTTGCGTGTTAAAACAAACTTGCTTGCAACAAAAAACCCACAAGAATAAACCAGCACATCACTTGATCTCATGTGCTATGTGTCAAACGAGTCTGATACCAGACAGCTTCCTCTAGGTTCTCTACACCACACCCCCAATGAAATAGTGACCTATCAGGAACATAAAAAATATCGCAAGGCTGGTAATTCATCTAAAATACCAGTAATAATATAGGATTATATTTCCTACAAAGATTTCATCTGAAATCTCAACATAATAAGAATATAGCATGTCATTTTAAATAACTTGATGAGACTACTTTAACTCAATCATGACCCACTGGGCATAGACATCAGTTCAACTTCTAGTTTTGTTTTACATTTGGTTTAGTTGTCAACTAACGTGAATTCAAAGTGAAATCAATGAAACATTTCACCCTGTCATTGGATTTACTTTAAAAGTTGGGTGAAAAAATGACGAAATTCCCTTACATTGATGACTGACTTTTGGCAAATTAAATCAGTTTTCCACGTTGATTCAATCTTTTTTTTATGACGTTGAAACAACGTTTATTCAACCAGTTTTTTGCCAGGTGGGGATTTGCTTGATTAGGTTAGCCTACACATTTTAAGATATGGACAGTTCAGGGATATTTTATTTTCCCTTGATAAGAAATGACCATACTTTAAAACAAGTTGTTGTTGATAGTAGGCTACACCATGAAAATATGATCAGAATTGAATCATTCCCACTCAGGAAATCTATTTACGTATAATCCTTGACACCTTTGTTCAAGGCTCCAACAATCTGCTGTGCATAATTTGACATAACATTAGAATTTACCGAGTTGCCTCTCCTGAACCCAAATGACATATTAGACAGAGTGATGTTGCCTTGTCGGCTGGAAAATCAACAAGGAGAGCTGAGAACAATCCCTAATAGTCTTAGGCTACAACATTTTCCTCACAATTTACAACTCCAAATTAATAGCCTTCTTGAATATCTCCTATCATCTCGAATATTCATACATATTTCTACTTTCTAAAATCCTAGAAGATTGTGTAAAATATGTATTCCACTATCCATTTGAATAAAAAACGTAAATTCGATGTTGTTTATTTTCAAAGTTAAACATCTCACTTGAAATACGTTTTTTTTTAATAATCCCAAATCCGATTTTTTATACAGAAAAAGGCATTGCTCATCGTTCGCACTTACCTCGAACACCTTGAGAGAGCGCGACAGTGCTGGGGTCTTGGAACTTCTCAGCGTGAAGAAGAGATTGAGCAGAGCTTTTCCATCCTCTTCTTCAAACACGATCTGTTCAGTCGCTTCAGCCGCCTCTGCCGCGGCTGCCGCCGCCTCTCGCTCCTTCCGCGCATCCTCGATCAAACTTTGTCGTCTCCCAATGAATCTTGGAGACTGCGCCCAAAAACATATTGGTCTTGAAACAGCTTTCTTGTTATGTCTGTGAACAGATTTAAACTATCTCGACCACCGACAGCGCACAAGACACAGCCCATATATAATTGGAGACTGGAGAGCCATGCTTACCTCGATGGAAGCATTTTACATCTCCAAAAACGCATAAGAACGCCAATGCAGTCTAAGAAAACCTGCCGCATAGCTCAGTCTTAGTGATTTAAAAGCCGAGCTGCTAAACAACAATAAGTTATTTTCCTATATAAAGTTACAGTTTTCCCAACCGCTCCTGCATTATAGTTCCCTCGCCAATGAGCCAGGCTCTCTGCGCGCATTGAGGCAATATATAAAAAAGTCCAAATAAGATTAGCAAGTGACACTTATAACAATAGTTCTGACCACTTCGACCCAACAGTTGAGCATGATAGGGCTATATGGAGTGGTAATAAGAACTTTACTCCTTACCGTAACAGAATCAGACCTCTCGAGCTCGGACGCTGCCCTGCGCATACTCTTCGTTGAGGAAGAAGAGCTGCTTGAAATTGGCATGTTCATATTCTCGTGTGTGTAAGATAGTGTGTCTTTGTGTGTGATGCTCCATGCACTGCGTTGACTCTGCTTGGTGCGCGCGGAGTCTTCCCCCCCCCCCTGCGGAAGCACTTGCCTGTCTTATTTATTTGGGGAGGGGGGAGGATTTGTTTGTCCTTCCTGACGTCAAGCATCCCGTTCTCGTTATCAAACAACACAGCATCCGACACATGCTCCCCTATTTGCTTTAATTATTATGTAACAGAGCAAGTGGCATTTTAAAAGCCATTTTCGTGTGGTTTCGTTTTGGTGTCCTAATGTAGAAAGAAAACGTATATTGATTTCCAATCATAGCTGAGGGAAGTAGGGGTGCGGAAGGTTCTCATCACCCCCTGATAAATTGAAATAATGTGTCCTAAATTATATAAATACTCCTGTCTGAACACTGACTGAATTTGGGCAGCACATGCACCAAATATCGAACAGTTTGTTGCATTGCTGCCATATAAATATTATTAAATGCCATTTAGCAGACGCTTTTATCCAAAGCGACTCATGCGTGAATACATTTTTTTTTTTGTGTGTGTGTATGGGTGGTCCCGGGGATCGAACCCACTACCTTGGCGTTACAAGCGCCGTGCTCTACCAGCTGAGCTACAGAGGACCACAAATATAATCCATAGCACCCAGCTAGCACATAATGTTCTGAGAACCATATAATTCTTAGCGCTTGGTGAGAGCCTGTTTGTCCTATGGTTATTTTGCATACAACCTTCCCATAACGTTTCCTACAGGTTTCTTAATGGTTCTATTTAAAGTAATACTCTCAAATTGTGCTGTTTTCGATGGATGGGTCCTGGCCTCTCGGGGGCCTAGGGACCCGGGGGGACAGGGGTGGTCTGCCGATCCGTGGGATGACAAACCAATTTGGGATGGGGAGGGGCTTTAGCAGGGGGAATAGTGGAGAACAATTGGAGGGTTACTTAGTAGCAATGCAAATATCATGGTACAGCTACAGTGGGGAAAACAAGTATTTAGTCAGCCACCAATTGTGCAAGTTCTCCCACTTAAAAAGATGAGAGAGGCCTGTAATTTTTATCATAGGTACACGTCAACTATGACAGACAAAATGAGAAAAAAAAATCCAGAAAATCACATTGTAGGATTTTTAATGAATTTATTTGCAAATTATGGTGGAAAATAAGTATTTGGTCAATAACAAAAGTTTCTCAATACTTTGTTATATACCCTTTGTTGGCAATGACACAGGTCAAACGTTTTCTGTAAGTCTTCACAAGGTTTTCACACACTGTTGCTGGTATTTTGGCCCATTCCTACATGCAGATCTCCTCTAGAGCAGTGATGTTTTGGGGCTGTCGCTGGGCAACACGGACTTTCAACTCCCTCCAAAGATTTTCTATGGGGTTGAGATCTGGAGACTGGCTAGGCCACTCCAGGACCTTGAAATGCTTCTTACGAAGCCACTCCTTTGTTGCCCGGGCGGTGTGTTTGGGATCATTGTCATGCTGAAAGACCCAGCCACGTTTCATCTTCAATGCCCTTGCTGATGGAAGGAGGTTTTCACTCAAAATCTCACGATACATGGCCCCATTCATTCTTTCCTTTACACAGATCAGTCGTCCTGCTCCCTTTGCAGTAAAACAGCCCCAAAGCATGATGTTTCCACCCCCATGCTTCACAGTAGGTATGGTGTTCTTTGGATGCAACTCAGCATTCTTTGTCCTCCAAACACGACGAGTTGAGTTTTTACCAAAAAGTTCTATTTTGGTTTCATCTGACCATATGACATTCTCCCAATCCTCTTCTGGATCATCCAAATGCACTCTAGCAAACTTCAGACGGGCCTGGACATGTACTGGCTTAAGCAGGGGGACACGTCTGGCACTGCAGGATTTGAGTCCCTGGTGGCGTAGTGTGTTACTGATGGTAGGCTTTGTTACTTTGGTCCCATCTCTCTGGAGGTCATTCACTAGGTCCCCCCTTGTGGTTCTGGGATTTTTGCTCACCGTTCTTGTGATCATTTTGACCCCACGGGGTGAGATCTTGCGTGGAGCCCCAGATCGAGGGAGATTATCAGTGGTCTTGTATGTCTTCCATTTCCTAATAATTGCTCCCACAGTTGATTTCTTCAAACCAAGCTGCTTACCTATTGCAGATTCAGTCTTTCCAGCCTGGTGCAGGTCTACAATTTTGTTTCTGGTGTCATTTGACAGCTCTTTGGTCTTGGCCATAGTGGAGTTTGGAGTGTGACTGTGTGAGGTTGTGGACAGGTGTCTTTTGTACTGATAACAAGTTCAAACAGGTGCCATTAATACAGGTAATGAGTGGAGGACAGAGGAGCCTCTTAAAGAAGAAGTTACAGGTCTGTGAGAGCCAGAAATCTTGCTTGTTTGTAGGTGACCAAATACTTATTTTCCACCATAATTTGCAAATAAATTCATAAAAAATCCTACAATGTGAATTTCTGGATTTTATTTTCTCAATTTGTCTGTCATAGTTGACGTGTACCTATGATGAAAATTACAGGCCTCTCTCATCTTTTTAAGTGGGAGAACTTGCACAATTGGTGGCTGACTAAATACTTTTTTTCCCCACTGTATATGAACACTCAATCACTATGGTATTTTTTATTGGTAAATTTACAAACATATATAATGACAAATACATTTGAAACTTGTATCTCATTATGGTATGTGGTGAAATAAGTATAGCCAGTTATAATTGTAATGGCTTAGCAGATAATAACAAAAGAAAAATCATATTTACATGGCTCAAAGAGAAGTAATATAATATCTATTGTTTACAGGAAACTCATTCAACAATTCTAGATGAAGTTGTGTGGAATAAGGAATGGGGGGGTTGGCGAAATATACTTCTCCCATGGGCAAAGAAACTCAAAAGGGGTGATGATATTAATTAACAGTAATTTCGATCCGAATGTGCAAATTGTCCAAACAGATACGCACGGTAGATGGATTATTTTAAATATGTTATTGGACCATAAACAGATATCACTGTAAACCCGAATGTTCAAAATAATTAATTGTAATAAGTAGTGTAAACTTAAAATGTTCTTAAAAGTTGTACTTACTTAAAAATGTTGAGTGCCAGTAGCAATTTTCTTCTTTTTGAGTTTATTGAACTTGTAATTTTTGAATAATATGAACATTTTTCATTTTTATGTAACTGCTACTTAAAATAAAAAAATTTAAACTTAAAACTATATGGATTAAACATGAATTTATGTCTTATTTTGAAAGAACAAATACATCAAATCAAGAACGAATTGAGAATAAATCAATTGCATCAGATAGATTTGTATATATAAAATATCACACACACACGTGTATATACGTTTATAAATAATTAATTGTTAATAGTTTGCTTGTTACAAGGTTGGCTAGTTAATAAATTACATATATGCGCTCACATATTTTATTTTGTAGTATTTGCGTGCACTTCCTCTTCAGGCAGCAGACCGGAGCCGAGGAGAAGAGCGGGAGACCGGAGGGTAACACTCAGCTCTGCACAAATGAGTTGTGAATGTAAGAAGTAACATAAAACTTGCTTGAATGTTTGTTTCTGGAGGTTCAACGTGTTTTTAAGACGGACAAAGTGAGTCACGTTAGCAATGTAAAATGGTTAACCGTTAGGTTAGCAAGCTAACATGCAAAGTCATCCCGCCAGTTAGCTAGCTGTATAGGCTACATGGCTAGGCTAATGTAGTTGTAAAAAACTGGTTGAGCCCAACGTGCAGCGGTGGATAGTAAGGTATCATGTACTGCTCAATAAAAACTCAAAATCTGTGCTGGAGCTGTGTCAGTGTTGTGAGTGAAAGCAGAAGCTAACTCCACGTGCTAACTCCAATTTGTTATTGCTATGATAATAATTTATGGATGCTACCAGCCCAACGTTACCTAACTTTGACATATTTGTGTAATAAAATGTTTTGAATAGTCTAACAGGCATCTTACACATCTACTTTGTTTTAATCAATGTTGGTGTAGCTATATTGTTGTACACTTTTAGTATGAGGAATATGACTGCAGTTTTTGATAGTTCTGATGGAGGTTTAAACTTCATGACAGGTGTCCTGTAAAATAATATTTTTTTGTGTGTTTTCAGGTTGCTGCAACAAATATGACTTGGCACTGTAAATTGTGTTCAGCTTCTTTTACCACTAGAACATATTTATTTAAACACTGCAGACTGCAGCACAGCCACTTTTCAAAAATTAGCCCACTCCCATGCCTCCATGATGATTGCATGTGCACATTTCAGACAGTTAGTGCACTGAGTACTCATCTGTCAAGATATCATACTCAAGAACATAACAGCAATGCAAAGGAGATTCAGGAACTTGTGACTTTCAAGTGTCCTTTATGCACATTTCAGCAACCTTTTTCTGAGTCTGTACTCCTCAGTCACATAAGAACACACTTAAAAAAGCATGAGACAGTGGTATGCCCATACAAAGGTTATAACTATAGCACAAATGTATACACTTCTTTTAATTCCCATAAAAGTAGAGTGCATCAAGCGAGTCTTGCGTCAGACTTTGGTAGTGACATTGTCTATGAACATACTCAGAATCTCCAAGCCACCAACTCTAACGTCACTATTGATGTGGATGAAGAGTGTCCAGTTCAGAGCACAGAAATGCAGGATGATGAGCAGTGTGATACTTCAAAACTAAAAAATCAGCTCAAACTTAATGCAGCATCTTTATTTCTAAAGATGCAGGCTATCCTTCATGTGTCAAACACAGCTTCACAAGAAATAGTTGATCACTTGAATCAGATCTTCTCTTTATCTCAGCCATTGATCAAGGATGCAATTAATGATATATTGCAGAGACATGGTCACAATATCACAGATTCCACACTCAATGAAGTTGTCAGTGCTGTCATGGACTCTAATGTTGTATTTAGTGCAACCTCCAAAGGTGCAGAGTTGTCCTCTTATAAGCGAAGGAAGACATTTATAGAGCACAACTATCC